TAGTAAAGTTCTTACGTAAATCGATCAATCTGCATCTCCATGTTGCGCAGGAGTTGACACCCATACTCGTTGCATAGTCAGTAAGTACATAATGTAGGTAATGTTTGGTCGGCGACTTCATATGACATGTCACTTCATGTGTAAATCCACTTAGCCGGTGTTGCGTTAATTCAGGGCCGAACTGAAGCGTTTTGGGCGGAGAAAAGCCTTAAAAAAGCTTAATTGATACTGAGAATTTCCGTTTCAATATAATATACTAGAAATAATTATTATAAAAATCTAATATTTTGTCTTAATAAATACGGAATGTGCCTAGAGTGGAGACCACGTCTAGGCAAACGTAGTGTAGGGCGCCCTCCAGCTAGGTGGACTGACGACATCCGCAAGGTGGCTGGCAGTGGTTGGATGAGAAGAGCTGAACATCGAGCTCAGTGGCGTGCAATTGGGGAGGCCTATTTCCAGAAGTGGACGACATCAGGATGATGACGATGATGATGATGATGATGAAATATGTAATAGTATTGAGTCCGCTTCTAAACATTTGGAAGAGCATAAAGTTCAAAGTTCAAATAAATATCTACATACTATCCATGTAAGATCGATTGTAGAATACAGCAATGTTTACCACGAATTCGTCTCTATGTTCGAAGAAACACTTAAAATCTTCACAACGATAACCCTTATACACTTATCACACAAAACAAAGTCACTTTATAATGAACTGTAACAACCTCGAATTTTTCAAAGGTCAAAGAAACCAAATATTTGCACGAGTAGGTATAGTCACTCAGATGAAAATAATTTGCGTCGTTTTATGAATATGTTAGTTAAGCCACATTTAACTGGAGTTAACAATAGTAATTAAGTATAGTGAGTACTTAATAAAATCAGTTCGGAATATTTTCAACATTTTCGCTTGGAATGTGGTGATACCTATAGTCATATTTCATAATTATTTATTTATGTGATTCACCAAGTACGCACCTGTGATTTGTGTGCCTAATCATACATAGGTGTAATGGGAATGATGCATGCTTATGTACACATAGCTAAGTTATCTATAAAGGAAACATAGGATTGTCTGCTAGCATGGACGGAGACTGTTTTCGTTGAATTGTCGAAAGGACTTAAATTCGTCATTCGTTCAATTTTAATACGAAGTCAACGTCTACATGAAGGCTTTAATAAAAGTAATTGAAAAGTGCCAACTACATAAATTGTTTAGGAAGCAAAAATCGACTTACATTTCTTTTTCTTAGAAGTTATTGTCAAGATAATTTTATAAAAATCCGAAAATTACCTTAATAGACTGTCTGCTTTACACATATAAAGGAACATTATTTAAAAACTCTAAAAAATGTTTTAATTTACACAGGAAGCAGTATTACATGAAATTCAAGAAAACCTAATATAATAATAAATACCTAAAGCTATTGTTAAGTAGCTTTAATAACTCTACAACTTGTCTAGTCTGATGATGTCAGTTTCTCAGGAAAAAACCTTAGGTACCTAACATAAAATGATTACAAGTTCGTGAAACCAGTTAATACATTAACAAAGTAATTATGAATTATTAAAATAATTATTATTTTCGTGAGTGTGCTCGCAAGTGTCGAGTTCCGCGTTAATTGACTATTTTTATCTAAAATGGCAACTAAATTAGAAAAAATTGTGAGTTCGTGAATATTATTACTATTTAAGTTTTTGTGGATGCAAAAACAATGACAAGTTTGAAAAGTCAGATTTTGCTAATTGATTTCCCCTAGTCTCTTACGCTAGTAGAAATCTAAACCTAAACTCATTGTTATCAGCAAAACATGACGTTCCAATAAGCCCAGTATCTACTTGCAAGAAATATTAAATACAAATAACAATAAATTGGATATTAAAGATCTTCTGAAGATTAACGGCACCGATACTAATGAAAAACTTCTGAATTTATCTACATATAATGTATTTGGCAGAACTCCTCACATTTCGAATACTACGGCCCTAAAATCATATCTAAATAGATACCTACTTAAAAAACTTCCTAACTCATAAATACAATACAATCCATAAATAAATAATAATTAGGTAAAGATATCTAAAAACAAAAGTCGATGCAACGTCCAGTTTCCGACTTTAGATATTGCAATAAGATAAATGATTAACAATTAAAGTACTTCTGTTTTATAATACTTAAGTACTTTATCAAATCCGGGTGAAGTAATTAGAGCACTCAGATAAGTAATAAGTACGTAATGTTACTGTCACAGTACCTCTTTACTTACCTATCTGCTGGTAGACTTACCTATTGATAATAATCGTTGATATAAGTAGAATCAATTCTACTCTGCATTTCTTTTAATTCTGAACTAATCAACTAGGCATCTAGCGTGCAGAGCAATAATTTTTACTTTATCTGTTTTTATACACTGCTTATACTGTTTGATGAATATAAAGTTTTATGCACTGTGTTTGTATTTTCTTCACATTTGATTTAAATACACGAAATCACCCTAATTTTGGCCCAAAGTTATTTATCACTAAACGTAACTTTACGAAATAATTACGTTTAATTCCATGCTATTTTTTTTCTTGTAATATCCAGTACCTAATGCAATAATTGTTGTTAACTAACATAACAATTTTTATTTCACAGATCTGCCGGCACCCCGCAATGCGTCGCCAGCGCCATCTGGCCACAGCGCGAGTGGAGCGCACGTGCAGCTAAAGCGGTTGGTGGCCAGGGTCGTGGAGGAGGCGGCGGCTCTACCAGCTCTCGCCAGATATGCTGCTGAACCTCACACGCCGTCTATAGAGTCTTCTACATATGAAGACTTGCTGGCAACGGCCATTTTAAATAAGGTTTGTTGAACATCTACTAAAGCGATGTTACCATAGTCGGTAAGAGTGTGACACTTCCTCTCGCCTCATTCTGGGCGAGAAAGTGATTTATAATATCCCTAATATTTAAAATAAGAGACAGCTCATGTTTCAAAAAAATCTAAAAAGCATTTGTCGCAGAGCTACTGCCATCTAGTTTAGTCACACCAATCTTTAATTCGTTTAAAAACAATTGAGATCCGTCTCAATTGTTCACAATTATTATTATAATCTTGATGCAGTTTGTGCATCCCAGAAGAGGAAATAAAAAGCTCATTGAATAATGCAAGCTGAATCATCATTAACACAGCACAATAAGCGACCTTGTATAGATATAGTTAGAGTATTGTTTCGATGATCTTAACCATAAACAAATCTGAGAATGACCTTCTCTGAATGACCAATCGTAAGTTTAGAAAATCTGAAAACATCGATCAATTGTAATCTTTGATTCCATATTGCGATACTCTTTAAATAAAGATATACTAAGAGATTGTGTATATACGTAGAGATACACAGTGATAACACCTCCATTCTATTTCTCAACATCAATGTAGTTGGTTACACCGCTTTTTTCGCCAGTATATCAGTAGATATTAGTAACTATAACAACTTATAATACCAGCCAGATCACCATAATTAATACTTGGTACAATTCTAGATACACTTTTTATTGTAATATAAATATAAATAGTAGTAGGAGTAGAATTTCTAAATATAAAAAATGATACTGGGCCTGAGATTAACTTATTAATTAAAAATAATAATTTTATTTTTAGCTCTACATATTAAAAGTATTTAACTTACTTTCACTCGGACTTCGCACCTACTTTATAAATAGATAAGTAGATAATTTAACCCAATATCAATAGGAACTTTTTATTTTCAGATTAAAGTAACAGTTTTGAGCCTTATTTTGTGTAAAAAGTGTTTTTTATATCACAATTTTTTTATATGATTAGATACCACAAACACAATTCAAATCTCGTTGTTTCATAAACAAAACATTAATTAAGTAACATTCACCATAATATTATAAAAACGTTTCACTAACGAAGTATTCCCGCGATCACGGCCCACAAATCCGTGCGGATCCAATTCTACAGCTGGTTTATGTAAACACAGCCTTATGCACGCGAATCCTTACAAACGCTTCATTAGTTTCGCGCTTAATTTAGGGTTGTCACACAAGTCGCAAGCGGCAATACTTACTATAAAACATAAATTACTAAAGAATGCGTTAACAGTTCCATAACAAATTTAAGTATACATTAACTTGAAATAATAGCAAGCAGCTTCTTGACCCGATTACAAGAACTCCCGATTAATTTGTAGTTACAAAGCTAAACTAAAGGTGGTTAAAAAGAACATTCCATAAAGGGATTTAGGCCATGAAACTTTAAAAATTAGTTGCGAAAACCTTTTTCCTTTCACCTCCAACAAATACTTACTGATTAGGCTCGTTATTAATGTCGAAACACATCACAAAATTCCACCTATCTACTAAGCACGAACCACGAACCTATCCAAATCCTGATTGCATCCTATCATTTCCATAAGCCTTTCAAAGCGATGCTGAAATAAAAACTGATATCATAATTAAATGCAATAATCATATCTTGTTACCAAGCGGAACTAATACAGCCAATCTAGCAAGGGTTTATAAATAAAACTGATAAATATAATATAAAAAATTACTTTATAAAGATTACTAGAGGACAAGTCAAAGTGCTAATATTAATTTAACAGATACCACAATCTCAAACATTTGGTCACAACCCGGAATGAAGGAACTCCTAAACTTATTCTTATACATTTATAAGTTTTATGGTCATATTTTTGAAGCATTGTTAAAGTTGGCCAGCCAGACCATCTACAACTTACCCTCTAAGAAACATTTGTAGCGCATCACGTTAAATAAAAAATATTCATCATTCATACCGATTTTTAACCGACTTCATCCTACTTCTACTACAATCAATATAGTTACACAAATATTGCGATATTTATCTATGACAGTTAATCGAAATATACTGTTAGATCAAGGACTGCTGAAAGCACTAATATCCAATGTACCTATTTAAAACAAGGATCCAGCGCGTGTATATCCATCACAGGGCCAGCTTGCTAGATAGCTTATCAATAAGTTATCAGCCGATAGCAGGCTGTATCGTTACAGCCAGTACAGAGATAGTTCGGTACCTAGCCAATCCAATGTATTACAAAGAAATGGTAAGTCATCATACATAAATAATGAGATTAATAAGTGTAATTCGTGTACACTTAGTGCTAATCACCTGTCCGCGATGGACAATTGATTTGTACAGTCGATCGAGTGTCGTGGAGTGAAATGTACATTATAAAATGTACACATTTTATCTAGTTTCGTTCGTAGTGTTTTTATACATTGTAGCGGCCATAAGCCTGGTGAGTTACGTAAATTATTCCTTCGGATTTGTGTTCGTGATTATAGAAAATTGTTTGATTGCCCATTTATATTCATTGGCGATTATGTGACAGCAACACGGAAATATTTAATTAGATTCGGCGTGTTCAAAGTGTTGTTATGTAAACAAGTCCGGTGTTGGCAAATATTTAGTAAATATTGAAGGTAAACAATGAAGTGAAAGATAGATATTATATTTTTAACCAACTTCAAAATTGGAGGAGGCTCTCAATTTGTGTTATTTTGTAAAAGTTCTATATAATTTAATGTTATTTTTAAACTCCTATACATCTTGTGATAATGGAATAGCTATTGATGAGAATAAAAGTCAATAAAAAATGAATCACCGGAAAATAATATAAACAATATCAATATTACAATAATATAATTATATCGATGGTGCAGCAACTGAACAACCCTGCGCGATGCCATTCAGTTGACCCGACGCGCTTCTCTCCAGCGCAGTGTGAACTGACGCCCGTGTGAACCAGACCTTTTTTTAGAAAACGTGCATCACTCCTAGAGCTCGTGCCACGACGAAATAGAGTTGTAATTCGTGTGACAACTGGTGAAAATGTACAATTTCTTCAGTTCTATTGTGAGCTACTTTCCCGAAGCGAACAGCGAGGTTCGAGGCTTTTTCATACGTTTGTCAGTTGGTATGAATTGATGCGTTTATGTTGGTCCAGTGGCTCAGATACGGCCGACTGATGCTCAAATTCCCCGAGCATATCATCGCTCGTACATCCATCCAAGTGATTTAGTACTAGACATTTCCTATCTGGATCATACAAGTGTTGCATTGTTGCAGTTTGTACACGTGCAGTTTCTCCTGCATGCTACTTATGAAAGCCTAAATAATTATTGGTGAAACACTGACATTTCAATCCGATATTAATTACGTGATGAGGTGTGTCACAAACATTTTCCAATCTGTCTTGTGTGATGTACCTATTTAAATAATTATAGGTACTAAATAATTATTGAAACTCCTCTTTTCAAACTTTTTTCTCTATGGAATAAAATATTGCGAAATGGAAGAGGCTGGTCAGAAACGCAAGGCAGAGATAAAGCTGATGATGACGGTGTTGTAATGACTTAAATTAACAACAATAATTGTATTTGTTCGCAGGTGATAGAACGGTACCAGAACGAGAATGGTTCCGGTGGCCGCAGCAGTGGCATCCACTCGGCTAGTGCGAGCCCCACGCCCTCCGAGCGGTCCTCTCCCCGCTCCCTGCACTCCCGACACAACAGGAACGTCACTCCTCCCGTAAGTAACATAATATATTTAATATACTCCAATAATTCATTATTTTTCAATCCAATTCAAATTCCATCATCTCATCATCAACGTATAAGTGGCCACTGCTGAGCAAAGGCCTCTTCTCACACGGAAAAGGTTTGAACATTCATAACCACGCTTGCTCAAGGCGGATTGGCGATTTCAATTCATGAGAAGCGGGTGTCTGAACCTACGGGCCACCACGACATAAAATCAGCTTTGTAATTGTAATTATTGGTAACTAGCGGCCGGCCCCTGCTTCGCACGGGTAACTATATCACTATCAAAGGGTCATTTTTTCCCAATTTTCCACTCTGCTGTTCTTATATTTTCTTTGATAAGAACCTTCTCCTGACAATAACAAACACAACAAAAAAAGAATTAGAAAAATTGGTCCTGGCGTTGTTGAGTTATGCGCTTACCAACACATTTTGCGATCCATTTTTATATATATAGATAACCATATTGTCAAGAAACATTATGCTTTAAAATATGATTATATTTCATAATTTCAGCTCCGTGAAGAAGACGACGTGTCTGACTGGGAGGAGGGGGATGCCACCGATGAAGCCCTAGAGGTGCCGCGTCGCGTGCCCTTCCCTGAGTTTGGAGGAGACATAGTGCATAACACAGGTAAATACATGTTTATGCAGCAAAACCGAACAGATTATCTAATTATTTACAATGTTCCGTTTTCAAATTTCTCAATAATACTCACAAAACCTCCGGCTTAAAGGTTGTCTCGCCAATTATTAAATCCACAATCAGACTTAACAGGCTTACTTATCAAACATAATCAGCTGATACAAAGGTAACGGGACAATGTTAATAACCTCATTCTAGATAACCTTTTTTATCAGCTTACACGTAGTTATGCAAAATTAATTCCAGAAAGGACATGTAACCAATGTTTCCGCCTACGTTGCAGATAATGAGGACCGTGAGTTCGACGAAGTTTCCAGTAGCGACCTACAGGCTGTCGACGGTACATGGGAAGAGAACTGGCTCTTCCAGAAAAAGAAAATCAAGACTATACAGTCTGTGCCCGTGCCCATGCTGGTCCCCAACTCTAACACAGAGTACAGGGCGCTGATTGGTGACAGAGATGCCGACGACACTACAGACCTCTCAGACAATGCAAGTGACTCTGAAGAGCAAGCAGAATACAAGAGTGACATGAAGAAAGTTCTAGACTCCAAGCACGTCATAGGCGGTAAACCTAAAGTGGAAGAATGTGATTTTGAACCCGATAGTCTCACCATTATCGACGGAGTCGACGATGACTTTAACAAACTCGTTGAGAAAATGGATGATGATGACACAGTAGACGCAATCATTAACGAAATTAATGATAACAAAGTTACTGTTGTTGAGACTAATAACGTAAACACGGTAGATCAAGTTGATGGTGGCAAATTATTAGTTTCTATAGAAAGTGGGCCATTAACAAAAGCAGAATTTGCGGTAAAGGAGGAGATCCACAGAACACTTCTAAATGGGAATGCAGAAGAATTTATGAATGATTTGAGTGTTCAAACAAATGGTGACATTTTGCACAATGGGCATGCAGAAGTAAACAGCCTAGACAGCTTTACTAACAACAAGGGTAAGTTAAATATACACATGTATCAATCAAGCGATTAACTATTCCAATGTAACCGATAACAGGGAATTAATAAACACAGCACACCAAAATGTGCAAATTTAAATTGGCAAGCATTAAATAAATTTTGATTACAATCGATTACCTAATATGGTTATAAAGATAAAATATATCATAGCAAGTAATTCGAATAATTTATGAGACGTATAAAACTTCTAGAATCGACGAATACTCTGAGTCATCACGAGCGTGAAGGTGAATACGAGGAAACGGTGACAGTGCCCGTGCAGAGGTACGCAGACAGTCTCCGCAGGAAGCATTTCGATGACGGACCTCAGGAGTAAGTACCTACCTAGTTTGCAGGGTGAAATTGCATATACCTACATATATGTGCCTTGACCATGAAGATGTTAAAGAACAAAGACAATGTGTAGCATTTTAGAGACAATTTATAAATATGAACATGCGGATAGTTTTACTTCTAAACCAGTTATTATTTGTTTAATTCATACATGTGTATGTCTAAATATTTGTGAATTTATCCACAACACAAGCGACCAAATACTTGTATTTTTTCTGAAAACATAAATACAAGGACTTACATTGGATTTTTCTTTAATGCTTCTGATAGTGGTATCTTTACTGAGCTGATTCATTTAATTTCAGAATTCCCACTCGCGATACTGATCAAGATGATTTGATACCAGGTACGTGGCTTATTACAGATAATTTACTTACGTAGTTTCAAGTTTTGGGAGTCAAACTCTCATAGCTTATAAAAACACCTACAATTAATAGTAATTACGAAAAAAAATATGCCATTATATTATTGACGAATATCAAAACTTGTTTTTTAGTAAGTAAATATATATTTCACTAACATTGACTTGCACTAATATGAAGAAAACGATTTCAGGTTCAATAGCTTACAGAGAGCGTAAGAAATGGCTGAACTATGTAGAAATGCCGAACAACCCTTACTCACCGGAAGCCATTCAGAAAAGGCTATCCGCCAAGAATACGTCATCACTGTTCGACATGTTCACTGCAAAAAAGGAATCAGATGATGACAACATAGAAATAAACGATAATGAGGCAGATGAGGGCGACACTGAAATCAATGATCTTCCAGTTAAAGATAATCAACACAATAAATTAAGTTTAACGATGAGTAATGATAGTATAAATAGTATCGGAAGAACAACAAAAAGTCCGTCGCCTAGAATATTGAAAGATGTGATGGCTGAGGAAATTCCACAATATAAACGGTAAGAGGAAATCCAGAAAATAAATGAAGTAGTAAGTATTGCATTAAACGGCCGAGTGTACAAAATAAATTATTGTTTCCAGTTACGGACGTGATTATTATATAAGAGAGGCCAAGGCGTCGTGCGGCGGTCGCAAAAAGACGAGCGTGGACGAGGCGAGCACGGTGTCCTCGGCGTCAATGAATAAATCTACCAGTTTAGACAATTTCGACGCCGAGTTCGCGTCGCCTGTAAGTGCCAGCAGCTCGTTGAGCGACCTCGAGGCCTCCGCCCTACATCACAACATCGTCCGCAACGTCCTCAGCCCTAGGAATGCGAGCCCCAACTTCGCTATAAACCCCATTTTCGAAAACCCCGATAGACACAATGATAACGCTGACGAGAATCATGCGACAGACGAACGCTATGTCGGTCAAAATGCCAACGTAAGACAACAATGTAGAACTGTGTGCGACGGTGACGGTTATGTGGAAAACGAGGATATAGTTAGACTTAAAATACCGAAAATACCCGAGATTACCGAAGACCTTTTCGAGACGTACACCCATGTTAGGCGGAGCAACACGCTGCGCAGCGAGGACCTCTGCGTCCGCGCCAAGCGCCGCCCGGCTCTCAATTTTACATTCGGTGGCAGTCTCAGGTTAAGCAAAGGCTTTCGTACCGATATCTGGTGACAGAGCACCCTCTAGCCCTCTAGTTCCGACTCCTCTCATAGTCTAATACACCTTCTTCGCTCTCAATGGCACTCCCACTGACCGATATCTCAACATGTGAATCTCTAACTGTGTACGATACATGGCCTCCTGTCGAGCCGAGTCGCCCATACTGTAGGTACCATAACTGACATCACGGTCACTTCCATAGATATGGTGACAGAACTCTATCTCATTACTAAATCGAACATAAATCTAAAATATCTTCGTTTGACACACAGTATATAGCCTGTTGTGTGTAAAGTTGGCATGTACTTGTTGGATATAAAGAGGCTGACTAACAGCACTGTGCACTATTAATACAAATGTTACTACTTAGTACTGCACTCATAGATTTTGTGTTCTTCTTAATCAAATTTTCAGTACTACGGTAATCCTCAAAGACGTTAGTGGTGAGTGTAAGATTTTGGAAAACCAAGTTTTGACTAACTGCATCCGACTGCTTGCCAACTAACGATTTCTACAAATACGACTCGCATCCTTTCCACGACTAACTCATTCGAAACACTTCACACACGTTCATTTCATTCGTTGCAACTCGTCAATTAATGTTTATTTATATATTTCCAATTGTGTCAATACTACTCTTGTTCTTAGTGGGACTAATAGCGCTGCACGTTTTAATGCTTCCAGGCACCGCCGGTTTAGTAATAACAATAATATAACCCCAATATTTTTTACGAAATACTAACTTTAACACTCATGCACTTTCCGTAGATACTATTAGTTATCTTATGTTGTACAAAATCAAACAATGGGGATATAGCTGTAAATGTTTAAATTCATAAACAAACTTAAAATTTTGGAATTTAACTAATTACACAATGATAACGTCTATAACGTTTTCAGGGATTACTTATAAAACAATTCCACACGATAGCGACGAACCAACATTACACAAAGTTCGCGAACAAAGAGGACATGGCGTCGGTGACTACAAGCACTAACAACAACCATGAAATTATGATTGAGTATGACGACGACGCCAGCGAACACACGCTATTCGCCGCTAAACCCGTGTACGTCGAAGATGACACAGACAAACAGTTCGAAGAAATTCTAGAAACAGCTTCCAAAGTGCCAAAAGAGCCTCCACCTCCAGTACCTACAGCTCAAAACGAAGATCCAACCGATGAACCTCTGAAATCCCCGCTGAGCGTGGACACGTCTTACATAAGCACGAGTAGCATGGAGGACTCCATCAAAATCTACAACGTGCAAACAGGAGAGATTATTAAATGTAAGCCTGATAACGTATCACCAAGCTATGAGGCTGACACCAACGACAACACCGATATCGTTGATAACAACATCTCGGAAACTGATACTGTTAGTTATACGGATGACGTGACCGAAGACAGTCCTGTCGAAGACACCAAATTGTCGAAGCTAGAGAGAGCTAGAGAAGCGGATGACATCCTGCAGAACCTGCCCAAAGTGAAGGAACTGGCGAAGATATTTGTTAGCATGGAGAACGTCGCAGAACCAGTCAAGGTAAATATTGATAATGTTTTATATTTAGCGCGGACCGACGTCATTTTTTCCGAAAACTGAAGTTTTATCTATGTTAAGTATCAAGTTCTAAATCTGTTGATTAATTAACTATAGCTAAATCGATTCTTTATTAACGCATGACAATTTTTTTATGCATTTACACAAATAAAACTATAGACATTTTTGTAAAACAAATTACAAGGAAAATTGTATTTACATAAACCAGTTTAGTTCAATATCACTTTAATCTGAATTGTATATCAATGTTAGATTACGTCGTTCAAAATATCAAAGGCTACTTACGAAAAGATACGATCAATGGTTGTGATAGGCATAGGAAAATAAAACTTTTAAATTAATCAAGATGTCGTTTGTTTTCCAGCCAGTGCAACCTTACTCGGCGCGGAGGAAGAGCAAGGAAAACATCCTGTCAGAGAGCAAACCAGAGAAGACCAAGCAGCAGTACATGCACAGCCTCACAGCGAGGAGCATCTCTAAGGAGTTCAGGGAGGAACTTAAACTCTCCATGTCCACGCCGCTCACCGTCCCGGGGGGCTCCAAGGAAATCCCCGAAGGCATTGAAGAGGTCACAAAAGAATCTAGCAGGCCCGGTAGCCCCGTGCCAGAACCAGGCACCATCAAAACAAAACTCGCCTTCTTCGAAAGTCTCAAGTCAAAATTTAGTAATAAGTGAAGCGTTTGATAGATTGAAAAGCGATGCCATAAACACAAATTAAATTAATTACACTAAGTAAATTGTAAATACGATGTGATGTGCTCGCGGGGATTATGTCAAATGTGTTCAACGTTGCACTTCGCTGTCGCTTTTCAGTGTAACAAATGTTCACTAATCGTAGAATCAACAATCTCTTAGATACCGTGCACAACGTAGCATGAGAGATATTAGCATGATTTTCAGTTCATTGCGTGCTGTCTATCGCAGTAGTTTAACTACAATTTGTTTGTTTTGTACCAAACAAGTGATGTAGTTAAAATACTAAACGAGGGCAGAATTCCCTGTAGTTATACAGTAATGTAGAGCGTAGAGCATAATACCTAGTAGCGGTCACATTATTTAATGAGAGTAAATGGTAGGTTACGGTGTAAATATTAAGTGCCATTTTGTAATCATCATTTCCCATTTATTTAAGTTAATTAGAAATTGAGGGAGTGTTGCGGAAGAAATGTGCATTACTTCATTTACTCTAGTTTCTCTGTAAAATATATGAGTGGGCATTATTGATATAATAATATATCGATGTATTTATTTAAAATATTGCAAATTGTGTTGTGATATCCTTTAATAAAATCTACGGCGTGGCCGAGCGTGAAGAAATAGGTTGCCTAAATCTTCTTTACAATTGGACTAGTACCTACCTTAAGTTTTGTAGATGATAAACTAAATTCGGCTTTGTATGTTCATAAATTTGGTACAAAATCACTTAACATACCAAACGAAAATTGTGTAAATAGGCGAAATTAAGCACATTTCTTCGGCAACATACCATTGAGTTTAGCTAATGCCAAAGTTGTAAATAAATAAATATAATTGGGTATATGTACGTATACATAGGTTGTGTACTATATATTGTATAAATGGTAGGATGTGCAATAAGTTTACTTAGCGGACCATTTGTATGTGATAGGCGTGTTCGACACTACATCACACGTCGACAAATATGGATAAGGGTGGCATACAATAAAATATTTAACGTATATATAATTGTTTTATTTATACCTATATCAAATATTTGTAACATTGGCGCTTGGTTAAATATATTTCCAATATGACCGAGTGACAACATCCACAATGTGGCTGTGATAAGAACAGCTGAAGACCCAAGCGCAGATTACAAAATCCTACCTCAATTTATTAAAAAAGTGCGAAACTGTAAGTGTGTGTGTGCCTCATAAGAACTAACAAACGGCTGAACAATGAATAATGAAAAATTTGAGCGGCCAAAAGTAATGATTATCTACATTTTATCAATTATTAGAAAAGGCGCGGTTGTTAGATTGATATGAATGTCATATCTGATATAATACAAACAATAATAGTGCTTATATGTTTTATTACACAATATAAAATATATGGCGATGTGTTTGAGTTCAGATATTTGTTACGACCCACACTATGAGAAGGTATAAAAATCTAATGTCTCACTGGCGCCCAACGTGGGACAGGTTTCAGTTAAATAACAATAAAATAGACAAGTAAAAATAATTAAAATACTTCAACATCAAATTAATATATTTGGATAACCAGCACCATTGATTTCATTTCATTGAACATTGTCGTAAACGTATGTTTAGGTAATAATAATACTTATTAAATTCGATTCTTAGATCTGTTTAACAAGGAATTCGACTCATGTCGGCCCACGCTAGCTCCTAGCGTCACACGATTAGGGACAGCGAAATGGAGTCATTCATCAAACAGTTACTAGGATAGTCATTAAAGAGAATAATTAATTTAATATGTCTCACTTAGGCTACAATACGAAAATATTAATAATACCATCAGTAATATATTCCTAGGGTCTTGTGGAAGGGTATACTTTCCATGGCATCAGCATACTTCCTCCTGTAACACCATAGGTAATAGTCTATCAGACTGGAGTTAGGTACCTCCACACTGCGACCTTCTAGTTTCACTTCTATTCTCTTCTTAAGAAGCTCTACAGCGTGTATGGAGCAACCTCGGATTTCTACTTCTTCTTCTGAACCGCTTGGAAGAAGAACATCTGGAAATTAAAATAGAATTAATGAAGTCGCGATATTTTGAGTTTGACTAAGTATTTAGGTGGGAATAGAACTGATAAAAAAACGATATAAAATTCTCGAAATAGTTGGCCACGTATCAAGTTGCTGTTTGTCATTTGGAACACAACAGTCTTTTCACTGGAAGCCTCCAAATGGCGCTTACATTGTGAAAAGGCATAATATCTTTAGTCTTTTTCAGACTGCTACCACTAGTAACCACATTTGAAACCCGATTAGTCACACACCACCCATCGGAAAGGTAATCTAATCTATCAAATTTCGAGAGATGGAAAGTACAGATGATAATAATCTATCAGTTTGGAGAGCTCTACTGATAACGTGATATGAATATTACGCTATCACTCCAATTACTGGCGCCGATTAAATGATTTCAGAGATACATCAAAGATACATATTTATATATAGCAAAATAAGACTTTATTCTGTTCAATAGAAAAGTATATTTAGAATACCATGAGTGGCTCCCAGTATTAACATTTATAGTTTTGTTAACTGTTTTCGGATAACTATTTAGGAGTTATTTGATTTTATTTACAGAACATCAGTAAATACTAACCTTTTTTCAACTTATCCATCAATTCATCACTGTAACTGAGTGCACCAAAATAAACAAGCACCTGCGGCACTCTGTAATCCGCAAACATTGTCATTTTGTCAATGTCATTGAACTCTCCCCACCCTGTACCACCAAAGAAATTCCACAGATCTGCCACTAAGATTTGAGCCCTCTTATATAAGGCTACTTTCTGTCCTTTAAACACAGCTTCATCACGGAAACATGGGAAATTATTTACAATAATGTCTAGTAATTTTGTAGCGGACTTATTAGCTTCTTTCAGGCATGTTTCAAAGGTACCATTGTACTTCTCCAGCAGTATGGACCCTACTTCATGGAGTACTGCAATTCTTTGCTCAAACAATGGTATTTCAGCTTCATTGTCACCTTTCATTATTGACCGCAACTCATCTTCGGTTATCTTAGAGTAGTATTTAGGATTTGTTACATCAATTCCATTCTGAAATAAGAAGATGTCTTTAAAATGTTTTGAGCTCCAGTAACTTAAGAATTATAATCAAGGAGAGTTTGATAGATAAAAATGTTGAAGACTAGTGTGCTTTTTAGACTGAGATGGTGACTTTATGTAATTTGAATTTTTTTTTTATTTTAATTTTAAGTTATGGTTTTGTTCATGGTTTAGTATTCCACTAAATAGTTTGCCTTCTAGTCATTACCTTTATAGCTCTAGCAAGTGCAGCTTCAAGAGCATAGTACCCAGAATGGCCATCAACAGTCCACTTCTGGGCACCTGAGTATGACCAGAAACAAAAGTTAAGGGCATCCGCCACAAACACCCAGTCTGCGGCCTTCTCATGATCCTTGTCAGGATGGATAATGTCTGCACCTGTGTCTGGGATCTCCAGTTTATCCGTTACAGATGGCAACATCTGGAAAACCATATAAAATAAAACTTTACTCCTAAATATGTTTCTCTATAAAAATAAAATGACACAACACTTGTTAGGGCTTTGAATTTTAAATTTTAAATGTTGTATCCCCTAGGTCAGTGTTTAAATAAAATATTTATTTTTATTAGGTACCTATCTTAGCTGCATTGCAATTTATTGCATCATGTTGCAAGCAGATGTTAAACTCAAAGTATTACAAAGTATCATTATCTTACCTCTTCGCAAAGTTTCTCAAGTCCCGATTCGTGAATCTTAACATGTTGTGCATTTTTGGCGATGAATTCGCCTGACTCTGCCGGGGACAGCACACCTTCACGAACCATTATATTTTAAGCTAAACCACAACACACAAAAATATTTCGTTTTTACAATACTTTCGTGATTGTGGTGATAACCGGGCATTGGTTAAGGATAGATAACAATAACAACATTGAATGACATTGACATGAACTCCAAAACAATGCGTTTTTCGACGTTCGGTAATATACTCATATTCGACTGACGACGGACCTTGGAGTATAGAAATAGAAAGTCATTGCGACAACGCTAATCGAGGGTCTTGTTCATGGACTAATATTATATTGGTGAAATTGAAAATAAAAAAGGTGTAACCGAAATAAATACCTATTGGCGGAAAACAAAAACTCAACAAATCTTTCCGAACGTTATATGTTCGTTCCATTACACGTTATTCTACTGGATTTGGAGAAAAAATATTTTGAAACAGCCCATTTCCTTGTACCTAGCCTTTTTCTTTGAAATTTAGACTATATTTTTAATTTCAATAGACAATTCAGAGTTTGTCGACATTAAATGTGTTTTGTTAGTGAAGTTATTAATTTAAGACTTTTTGTAAATTCTCACATACATTCTATGACATACTAGTTCAGAAACGTAAAAATCTAACCTTACTTTTTAACGACAAAAATAAAGAGTTAGTAGCGGTAGTGTTTAATATTTTTCAAGGTAAATCTTTAATATTCATATTTCATTATGCCGCTCGAAGTCCAAGGAACATTTGTATCACAGAAAATTAGTAAAATAAGGTGGATAGCGGAAGACTATGTGGAAACAAAGTGCTTTTTCACCGGTAGCTGGGATGATGATAAAAATTCTATTAAAGTTTGGACCTTAGAAAGTCCTCATGAAGAGGAAGAGGTAGAATACCCACGCCAGTTGTCCGAGTATATTGTAGATGGCGATGTTACACAAATTAAGTTTACAGAGAAGAACAAAATCGCTGTTTCTCTATCAAATGGTGACGTGAAAGTGCTTGAAGTGAGTTTGTATGACAAACAGTTCCCCCTCAAAGAAGTTTTCCACTGGAAGAAGTTACACAACTACGGGTAAGTTATTCCATATTATCCGTAAGTAGTTTTGCTATTAAGTAAAATATTAATAAACTTGATCATTTTTGTCAGAAAAGGTGTCGTATGTAACTGTTATTTTAGTTAATTTTGTAATACACAATGTCACAGTATCACAATTATTCAGTCACGCTTACACTTCTCCTTTGTATCTCTGTTTCTGTTATTTTTTCATATTACTGTATGTGTGTTGCATATAGGTAACTAATAAAAATTTTCATAGTGTACTGTGTGTAGCTTTAGAAGGGCTATAGTGCAACTTCACTGCCCTTATGGCTACTCACTGACCCCCATCTTATAATACTTTAATTTTTATGAAAAAGACCACTATTTTGTTAGGCTTGTTCATCTCCATTTGTGACATAAAATACTTGTGTCTGTGTTCCCCCAAACCACCAACAAACATCAAATCAAATCAAATCAAATTCTTTATTTCAAATAGACCAAAAAAAGGCACTTTTGATTGTCAAGCAAAAAAGATATCATAAGGTTTAACTTTATACGTGTCAGTCTGTCCATCTGTCCTCTAGTGAAGCTATTTGCTCGTTCCAAAGTGTAGATTCCTATGGAGAAGAACGAGCAAGAAACTCTATGGTTACTCTTTTTCAATCACTTTTTACAATGCATTGTTACATAATTTAGATAGTTCCATTATGTGAGAACAGTGTAACATTAGTGTTTAACCAAAGGATCCGAAAAAGAAATGAACCTCAGGGACAGCAACTTTAGACAGTCTCGAGTTGACCAGTCCCAATAGGCGGCGTCCGTTCACAAACATGACACATACACCAGCATCGCCCAACTCAACCATATTATAGGGAACCGAGCGGTCCAGTGCCTGTGCCACCGCCAATGAGACTCCTGAGTGAGCATGACAACTCCCAACTGACACAAGTACCAATATACTATAAGTCTAACTCAATTATAATAAGTTACAGGGCTCTCACATTTACAAAAATCCAGTTTATCAACAATTAACAACATGGTGAATAATTTAATAATTGAGATCAAAATTCCTCTTAACCTTAACAATTTTTATCCTGTGCAGTCAAATCGGCCACCCTCCAAGCATTTTTATCTTCTATATAATCGTTTAGTTTGTAGTATGCTTTCCTACATAATACTTTCTTTATACAAAATTTAAATTTACTTTCATTAAGATTTTGTATTTCAGTTGGGATTTTATTATAACATTTAACACATAATCCCATGAACGACTTATGCACTTTTGCTAATCTAAATAAAGGCTGACTTAATCTATTTCTATGTCTAGTAAGATAGTCATGTTTGTCAGATACTTAATAGCTGTAGGTTTTTCCTAACATACATAATGTTTTCATAAATATATTGACATGGTACGGTCATAATGTTGATCTCCTTAAACTTTTCTCTGAGAGATTCGCGACGACCTAAGTTATAGATAGCTCTGACGGCACGCTTTTGTAAGATAAAGATAGACTCAATGTCGGATGCCTGTCCCCACAACAGAATTCCATACGACATGATGCTGTGAAAGTAGCTAAAGTACACTAGTCGCGCCGTGCCTACGTCAGTTAGCTGACGGATCTTCCAGACAGCATAAGCTGCCGAGCTCTACCGCCCTGCTAGAGATTTAATGTGGGGCCCCCATTGCAGCTTGTCGTCTACAGTAATCCCCAAGAATGTGGTCTCCTTTACAAATTCCAGTTTCTGACCATTTAATAATATATCATCGCATATGTTACTTTTAACATTTGGCAAAATAAATCTAATGCATTTCGTCTTTTTATCATTAAGTACTAAGTTGTTTTTTGTGAACCAATTATGAACTTTCATTAAGACATTATTCACTTCGTCATAGTTATTTGATCGTCTATTTAATTTAAAAATCAAGGATGTGTCATCAGCGAATAATAAAATATGCGGTTCACTTTGGAATTAATGGGGCAGATCATTGACATAAACCAAAAATAGGAATGGACCCAATATTGAGCCCTGCGGTACGCCCATAGATACGCTAGCACCCTGTGAGTTTACTCGTTTAGTTTACTTGTACTGTAAGTAGTCTTTCTAGAAGGTATGACTTTAATAAATTTAGGGATACCCCCCGAATGCCACAGTGTTGCAGCTTCAGCAATAGTGTCTCGTGCTCAACACAGTCGAAAGCCTTCGAAAGATCGCAAAATATTCCGATGGCATCCTGTGCTTTTTCCCACGATTTGAAAACTTGTTTTATAAGCGATACTCCTGCGTCGTTATTGTCGCTATTCAGGACAGGGCAAGCAGTAATGGTATCATCACCGGTTAAGTCTATTGTGACTGCTGGTTCACAGATGTCACCAGATTCAATACCAACCAATTCTTCATACAAACTCTGAGTGTTGACCGACAACACAGATTTTTTGGAGGCCTCTAAGTTATTAATTATATTTTGTGCTTCTCTGAGGTCACGCTCCAGATTTGTTATATGTTTAAGAGCATGTTCATGTGTGTCAGTACACTGCTGAAAAGTATCAATTTGTTTTATTAAGTGGTTGTGTTGATCTATTAGGTCCATGTGACATGAGTGAAGTTCAGCTAATTCATATTTGAGTTGTGTGTTTTTGTTAACAATATTTTTAACTTCAATTTCACTGTCATCACGCTCTTGCAGCAGTTGGTCGCACAGGTGCTTGGATGACTCCAGTTCTTTGAGTGCCGCCCTCAGTTTGATCTCCATCTCCTTAGCCCTTAATTTGGCATAGAAAAAAATGTGATAAGAACTGTTTTTTTTTATTAAAAAAATAATAAACACATCTAAAACTGTTGCAGAAAAATTTCAGAAAAAATCTGAAAAGCTCGCTTTTCCTGAAAACTCATGTATGCCACAACATACACTGCCAACTTCTCAAAACTACATACTATAAATGAGTGGTATGTAGGGACATACATTACCAATTACCGGACTTATTAAGTATTTAAAACAAAAACACCATTATTATACAAATAAATGTTTATTAGTGCAAAAAGGAATTTAAATGACCAAAAATTACGTTGGTACGTGGTATTGCAGTTGACAATTACGAGAATTTTTACCAGTAACAAAACAGAGTCGGACTTGGCACTTCAAGCATTGTACAACAGTTAGTTTGGAGCACAGTCGACATCGTCCTTGGGTGGTCATGGTCATAAAATGACCAACGTTATCATACCGTGACGTTTCCACAGGACCTGCTTGTGGTACTCGTTTTTTTGTGCCTTTGATACCATTTTCGGAACGTTGGTATTTTGTTAGACCCTCGTACAACTCGAATCTAAAGTCCTTCAGAGGCATAGATTTTGACTTTGAATCCTTTCTGTGGAGAAGCCATGCGTTATTTATGCATATATCCAGGAGTTGGGCAAATATGCCAATATACCATCTCCTTGTCTTGAACGGGGTTCTATATAAAGATATAAGCATATCGGCCAAGTCAACCCCTCCCATGAGCTTGTTGTACTCCTTCACTATTTGCGGACATTGAACGTCAACTTTAGTTTTAGAGTCCTTGCAGTACCTTTTTATTGTAGCTACTGGTTCAACGCCTACATAGGAACTTATCAATGTCACTGCTTTGTTATCATGCCAACGTACTACGGCCAGGCGATTTTTGTTGCAAGTGGCTTGAGCATGACTACCCCGGGGTTTCTTCTTCATTTCTTTTTCTGAAGGCAGACTTGCTTCTGCACCTCGCAACCTGTTATTTCTGATGGTTCCCAGTCCAAAGATCCCATACTCTTCTCTAAGTATGTAAAATAACTCTGGGCAGCTAAAAAAGTTATCACAGAATACAAAAGCTGGTTTAGATTTTATAGTTTTGCACAAAGCGATCACCACTTGCGCTCCAAATCCGATAGAGGCTTCTTGTTCGCTAAAAGTATGGAATCTAAATGTATCCTCTCCTCCATACAAGATAAAATCATATATCATGCCAGACACTCCAGCGCGTACATAGTTTTTAAATCCCCACTTATTTGGTTTGTCTTTCATGTATTGACGACGCTTGCCCGCTTTTGTCCCTTTATATGGGATCATCATCTCATCAATACTAAACCTCCTCTCATTTTCTTGAGCTAAACAATTTTCTCTTATTTTTTGCACCAACGGCCTAATTTTATAATATCTATCAGAATCTTCGATATTGTTGTCAACGAAATGTAAATAGCGACGTATCTGTTGATAGCGTTTTAATGGCATCAGATCAGCCACTAGTTTGTACCTGTATCGCAAACTCCAATAGTCAGTGTAAGATGGCATGCTCACAACACCCATTATGATATGTATAGCTATAAAGTCTCGCAATTCGTCTTTAGTCAAACCTAGTGTACGTCCAGTTTTAGATACTGCATAAGCATTTGATTGTTCCAGAATGTGTGTCAAAATATCAGGAGAAAAGAACTTATAGAAATATTCCAGGGGGGTTTGGATAGTGACGTCACCGATAGGATCCGATTCCTCTTCCATAGTAGCCAAATGACGAAACACAGCTTTTTTCCAACGATAGCTCAGAGTGAACTTTTGAATTCGTCTAGGTCGTTGAGCAACACTAATAGTAGGACGTTGTGATCTTGTTCTTCTGGAAAAAAGTGATGTGGAGGAGGCATTTGCTGGCATGCGTGGTGTTTCCAAACCAAGAGATGCAGAGCGTGCAAGAACTGAAGCTGTTGCAGAATTTGTGGGAGTAGCAGGAGTTACAGGTGACGCAGGTGTTGCGGGAAATGATGGGATGTCACTCAATATTGGTACTTTATTACAATTCGGTTCTAGAGATGGGCTGGAATAAACAGTTTGGAAAATGGGTGTTAGGCGAACATTGTCGTTAGTGGGTTCTTGTTCATCATTTAAAAGGTTTAGTCTTTCTAAGGAGCTTTCAATTGAGGGTGCAGAAGAACTGGACATAGAAAGCGGAGCGTGCACACGTATCTCATCTTCAATATCGGAAGGTTCACTATCGTCAGAAGGTGCATTATGAGCAGGAACAAGCGCTAAAATTCTACCACCACGAGTTTCAAGCTTTTGCTGCAGACAAAGAAAAAGAAATGCTAAAACATAAAGTAAGCAAAGCATATCCCCAGAACTGGCAATGTATGCCATGACATACAAATTGTTTTAGGGGTCTTTTACTGCAAACTTGGCAATGTATGTCACAGCATACTTCATGTTAGTACCCAAAATAAAACCATTTCAAGACGTAAAAACTTCAAACTTATTATTGAAATTATATTATCATAATATCAAGCATAGAATTCAGTCATTTAATTTTTCCTAAACCTTGTATTAATTAATAAAATAATATAAATACCTTGGAGAGAACAGCAGCCGGCAGACGGGTCGCCATTTTCTTCCACTAATGTCAAAATAAGTGTTGCCAGGTATCTGTTTTATATTTCCTACCAATAATAGTTAGTGTTGCAAGTGGGTAAAAAAATTAATCCACGTCATTTTATTATTTCCTTTAACAAAATATTTTTTCAAAGTTGATGTATGTTGGGGCATACTACGTCAATTTAAGGGTACCGAGTCATCATACTGAAATGTATGAAGGGATGATGCTCTGAAATATAAGAGAAAAAAAAAGAACAGCAAATGGACAGAGAAATTTGTTTGTAAGCTAGGTGGACTTGTATAAATGAAATAATCTATAAGGTATTAAGAAAAGACCAAGAGAAAAGGGTGAATAATAGCTTTAACTTGTTCAGTATGATGAAACTAATGAATTGATGATTATAATTTCTGGTATGCAGGTAGATGAAAAATAAGTTAATTGTATTTTAAACTACTTATTAATTTTCTTAACGTGTCGTGTTTCATTAACAAATTATCATCCAAACTGAGAACTATGTGTTACTTTAATCAAAACTGGAGCGTGTCTGTAATTGTGTATTGATGAAAAACAATAATTTTCACTTATACTCCCCTGGTTTAAAGTTTTAAATTGAACTTTAGCTCCGTCCGTTAACCACTGACAGCTCGCAGGAACTCTTCAATTTTGCACTTTTGCACTTAATTCTTATAAATATCACTGGGCCTACAATGCCTCTGGTGTTTTTACAAGTATTTTTACAAATAAACTGCTATTTATAGCAATAAAATCACTTAAATCTAATTTTTAAAATAAATTTAACTACGAGGTCGTATTTTGACGACCGATCACAAGTGTTGCCAACGAGAAAAAAAGACATCCCTTAGCATAGAAAACATGCTTCTTATGTAATGTTGTTTTCCATTTCAGTGTGGAACAATGTTCCTGCACGTCTCTGGATACCCTGGAAGGTGACATAGCCACTATTGGGGAGGACGGCAATGTGAACATACTGAGTGGCAGGCGAGGAGAGGTGATGCACACCATCAAAGGAGCTGACAGCTGCTCCCTACATTCTATCTGTTTCATCAAACATACAGAGGTAAATTATGCAGTAACATTCTATACTAATGGTTGTAGGTGTTGTTAATATACTGCTCCGTGAATAATTGAATGTCAAATACTATTGGTAGCTGGGTTTGTGGGTCAAGCGCAATAATGCGCATGGAGTATGTGGAGGAACAAGGTTGGAATAACCATTTTAGTCATTAATTTTTCAAGTTTTCGCTTTTCTTACTAAAAGGTAAAGTTATAAACCTATGGTATACTCATAACTCATTCACTTACACACTTGTTCTTCTTCAATTGCTTCTTGCATCCACTACTGGATTCTCTGCATCACCCAAAGGTTTACTGGTGGAGAATGCTCAATGCATTAAGTCCCCCTAATGTGCATGTCAAATTGTGCATGATAATAATACTATTAATATTGATGTACTCTTTCGGCGTACTCAAATGGTCTCAAACTGAACTGGACGCCCTGGATAGGCGGGTCCGAACAATGCTGACTGCATACCGAATGCATCACCCGCGATCTTCGGTGATGAGACTATATATCCCGCGGAAGTGTGGGGGTCGAGGCTTTTTAAATGCCAACCCTACACAACCGCGAGGTATGTAGTCTCAGGGAATATTTCCTTGCTGCCGACGTGGGTATGCATCGAGATGTAGTGGCAGTAGACAAAGGGCTCACCCCGCTCTCCTTGGCTAACGAGAACTGGCGCAAACCGGTCGTACTTGACACCAACGCTCGCAGGGAAGTATGGCAGAGCAAGGAGCTTCACGGACGCTTTTTCCGAGCCCTACACGGGCCGGATGTAGACCAGTTAGCGTCTGTAGCCTGGCTGCGATTCGGTGACCTCTTTGGTGAAACCGAAGGGTTTGTCTGTGCAATTATGGACGAAGTTATCATGACGAATAACTACCGGAAATTCATTGTGAAGGACGGCACGGTTGACATCTGTCGGGCATGTCGCCGTCCGGGAGAATCAATACGTCACATAATCTCTGGTTGTTCTCGTCTAGCTAACGGCGAGTACTTGCACAGGCATAATCTTGTAGCCAGGATCATACATCAGCAGCTTGCTCTGAAATAGTCTCTAGTGGAATCGGAAGTGCCGTACTACAGGTATGAGCCCGACCCAGTTCTTGATAATGGTCATATCACTTTGTACTGGGACCGGTCTATCATCACTGACAGGACTATTGTGGCCAATAAGCCTGATATTGTGGTGGTGGACCGAAAGGAGAGGCGTGCAATGATTGTTGACATAGCCGTCCCACATGACGAGAACCTTGTGAAAGCCGAGAAAGATAAACTGATCAAGTATATCGACTTGGCACACGAGGTTGTCGACATGTGGGAAGTGGATTCAGCTATCATTGTACCGATAGTCGTGTCAGCCAATGGCTTAATAGCCAAGAGCCTCGACCAACGTCTTAGGAGGCTCTCGTTAGGTGGCTGGATTAAGGGCTTGATTCAGAAAGTGGTACTCCTGGACACGGCTCGTATTGTCAGGAGGTTCCTTTCTCTGGAGCCCTGACCGCCGGTAGCTTGGACCCTGTTCCCGAAACCGGTGGGACACTATTTTTTATATTTTTAAATGTTTTTTATTATTATTTTTAAGAAATATTTAAAAATGTAATTTATATGTTTATATGCTGAATAAAAAAAACTATAAATAAAAACTTTTCAATTGTATTACTTCGAACTTCTACTTAGGTTTTGCTTGCATTTAAATTGTTATTATTGTGCAGTTTGGATTTCTTTTATAACAGTTCCATGTTCCATCAAATCAAATAGTTTGTTATTAGGTTATTTTATCAAGTATAATTAAAACAAAGAATTATTAATTTCATTCCAGGTTATTACTGGCAATGTGAGAGGACACATGAAGATATGGGATGTAAGGTCTACAAACAACAAGCCATCAGCTGCATTCTTACTGGCTGGAGATGAATTAGCTGCTACCTGTATTATCCACCATCCAACACAACCACATATCATCCTCGCAGGGAGTGAATCCGGAGCTCTGGCAGTCTGGGACTTGCGTATGAACTCTTTCCCTACATCGCTAGTAAATGCACACTCTGCAGGAGTATCAGAGATGCAGTTCCATCCAGAAAACCCTCACAAGCTTCTAACATGTTCAGTGTCTGGAGAATTATGGGAATGGAACATGGAAGCTATGACAAAGAGCTCCAAAGGCCCTGATGGCCAAATAATGTGGATGCCCCTACAAGATAAGAAGTCCATGATGGTGAACTCATTGATACCAGCTTTACATAAACCAATCAACAGCTTACACTGTGACAAAGGCCGGATACTTTGTGGAGCTGATAATGAAGCAGTTTATTTAATTAAGAACTTTAAGTATTAATTTAGTTGAGATTTGAGTATTTGGGAAATTGATGTGATACCTAAATAGGAGTAACTGAAAGAAAGTTGTAGCTTTGTGAATTCTTGAAGTTAGAACCAATCCCAGATTGGGGCCAAGATTTATGTAATTGTGTAAGTGAATTTGTTGAGTCAAAGCATTTTTAATCTGTTACTCCATTTACAAGTAAGTGAAACATAAGGAGCTATGTAACTAAGTTATTTGATATAATAAAACGTTTGTTTAAGTAATATGCATTTTTATTGATTTTGAAAAGAAGATACACTTACAAAATAATATTACATAATAATACACCAAGTCAGTCTTTGCATGCTTAGTATCGGTAAAATATTTTACAAAAACCGAAATATATAGTATTTACAATGTTTTATACATAATTGTGCAAACTTAATATCATCGCAAGGCACCATTATAACAACCGTTTACATTTTATTGCCAAAAAGGTAACATACATATTACTGAAATATGTGTGATTATTTTCATGTGGCAACACCTAAATAAAATTTTCAAATATCGACAATTTACAAATTATTTTATTAATAAAGAAATTTAATTGTTTATAATTATTAAATATTCTTGTAAATTACACAAAATGTCAAGAATTTTTATATAAAATCTCGAATCCGAATCATTGATGGCACCTTTTTTTTCATAATAATTAGTTTGTTCTCAATAAAGTCACCACTAACCAGATTTTTATTAATTTAGTGTATAACAATTTTATTGAGAACAATAACAATATATTTCGTAATACTAAGATTTTACTCGTCATTCTGTAAAAACGGCTACTAAACTCAAATATTTTTGACGACTCATCAGTTAGAATCAGCCTCTAAGTTGGAACAATGTTTCATAATATCACTACAATTAAGAAAAATGGTTGAATATTTGGCATATTATTCACATTATTATACGAAATAACATAATGGAGTATAATTATTGTAGGTAAGCATATAGTAATTATCACTCATCTAAAATATTGTTCAAGAATAAAATAATAATAAACACAGCACAATTTGACTGAAAATAATATTGGATATAATAATTGTTCTTATTCGATATAATACTTATTGTGAGCACCATTCAATGGATCTCCATTGAACCGAATTTCGTGCTCTTGTATCCAATCGACCTTGAGTTTGAAGGTCACTTACACTAAATAAAAATGTCCTTCTCAACGATTCACTCTGGAACTGGCGTTCTTATCAACTTTGACCTTGACAGTTTGAATGCCAAGGTCAAAATTAATGTTCACTTTACGTGAAAGCCAGTTCGAACTGGTCCCGAGCCCTCTGGAGCTTTTAGATGGAGGAGTCAAGTGTGATGGTTCCGCCGGTGTGGGAGGGGCTTCCGCTGCGCGGCGTCAAGCAGCGACGCGGGCAGCACCCAAAGCTGGTCACACCAGCGCATCAGGGCCTCCGTCACGTGACAACTGTTGGCCGCCGTCGCCAGCTGGGTCTCCAAACTATCCGACTGCTTGATCAGCAGACTGCAAGGATAACGATTAGTTATTAGACGACTTCATTGTATAGAAAAAGTAAAAAATCAATGGATCCAAAGTGAATCCTTGTAGGCCCCTTTAATTTTACGATCTGAACGTAAAATTCAATTTGCGAAAAATGTTCAAAAATATTTACGAGTGAAATAACAGTTACTTCACAAAAGTTGATAAATGACCTGGGCGGGAAGAGCGTAGGGGCAATGATCATGGCGACGTTGTGTTCAGTCATCTTGTTGATGTCCTGCCGCGCCACGATCTCGCGCACCAGGCGCAGCAGCTCGCGCAGCGTGGCGCGCTGCTCCGCCGGCAGCAGCAGCACCAGCAGGTTCAGCGCGCGGCCCTGCGTCGTGCCACTCAAGGCTGAAACAACGAAAACAAACTTAAATTAGCGCTCGAAAATCTATGTCATGTGTTGAAAAATAAACTTTAAAATTAGTATTTTACTGCGCGGTTGGCGCGGTGGCTGGACAACTATTGTGTCGCAATGTGTCGGGAGTTCCATTCCTGCACAGAACAACTCTGTGTGATCCACAAATTGTTGTTCCGGGTGTGGGTATGTATATGTGAAATTGTAGGTTTGTAAACACACCCACAAAACAGTATAGAAAATCTTAGTAAGGGGTCAATATGTTTATAAGGAAAAAATATATACTAAGGATAATGATGCATTCATTTATAAGTACCCACCGTATGTGTGATAGAACAGCCTCATCAGCTCCTGAGTGAGGGGTGGCTGTGGCAGGGCGCGCAATAACCGCTTGAACACTGCTGCTAGATCGTGGCTGCTGGCGCGGGCTAACGCTGCTTCCACGGCCGACCGGTCGGAATACCACTGTCGCTCAATCAGCTGACAGAGCGCTTCGATCTGAAGGGAAGAGCAAGATAACTCAGTTTCGTTTTTTATTTAGCGATTATAGATATATATAATATCAGCTACAATTGATCACAGAAAGCAGAGATTATGATAATCTCTTCAGCAGATTGCGAATTAAGATCGGCAGAACTGGCACACTTGCGTCTAAGAATGAGTTTATATTTAAGAAGTCTTGAGACTGTTTCAAGGTTGCGTGAATATTTACCTTTTGCTTGTTCCCTGGTACTCTAAGCAGACCCTCATCAGCAGTGCGCTGTACTAGCGCCGCGGCGAGAGCTCGCACAATGCTGGGCGCACAGCTCCAAGTTTCCTCCCACAGGATCATGTCTTTGCGGACCAGAGTCTCCAAGGATACGCCAAATACGGAACCCTCTGGAAATGAACGACGCATTTAGACTTGTATATTTTTGTTGTTTAGCAATTTTAATTCCTTCGCAGAAATGAAAACGAGCCTCACCTTCTTTCCTCTTCTTCTTGGGCGATTTCCTTTTCTGGAAGGGCAAAGAGTAGCGGTCGAAGAGAGCGGTCAGCTCCAGCCACAGTAGGGGCGGCAGCCGCTTCAGTTGCGGCTCACCGATGCTCTCGATATCCACTGTACTGTCCTCTTCAGGCCATTCCTTAACAGGAAGAGATAAACATTGTTAAACGTATTCTTGAACTTGGGTTTACAGTCCAAAAAATTATAGGAAGCCTCGGAAAAAAGTGTCGTACATTCGATCTCCGTCCAGAAAATGCATAAGAAAGATCTGAGTAGTAAATACATACCTCCTCATGGTCGAGCATTTGCCTGTCGAGGTTGAACTTGTGTTCGAAGCTGAGTGGCTGCTGAGCTGACGCGGCGCTCTTCGCGCGAGACACGGCCGCGTGCTTATTGTTACTGCTACAGGGAAACAAATGTATTACTTCCTCATCTCACAACCATACTTTGAATGACAAATACAAATCAAACACGTAATCGGTATACTTACATGAATGGGTCATTGTCTTTGAGTATAGATCCATTGATTCGTTCTTTACCTATCCTCGGTCCCTGAACTGTGCCGTATCTTTGGTACCCTAGGAGCTCGATGCCCTCTGGAAACAAAAGAAAAGGTGCTCAATATAACAATGTCTCATCCAATCAAATAGCAATGCTGTTTCTTGCCAAGTTCGAAATCATAACTTAATGCCCAAATATGAATAATGAATTAGTCAGCAATAAATAGTCAAAATATTTTGGTTTTGTTCTTATGGTATTTTATTACGAAACAAGTAACAATGATTGTAATCTTACCGGTATTACTCGCAATGTCAGCCCAATGCAAGTCGTTAGGTTTGAAGAGTTCGTGCATGGGCAGCGGCGGCGAGTGCGGCTCGGCTGGCGGCGACAGGCGCGCGCGCCGCCCGCCCGCCGGCGCCGACGGCGTGCGTGCTAGCGGGGTGTGGGTGCCCACGGACGGGAAGCTATCGCTAAACGGGGGAACACAATGTCAATTATTTTATATTGCAAAATTTGAGTTGTTTTCAAGAACAACTTTTGGAGGAAGCTCTAAGACAGAGACTGTCTGTCTCTTAAATTAAGTAAATTAGGATAAACCTCCCTACACTGGTCAAAAATTATGTGCGATGCGTTCTAAGGACATGAGCCCCATAAAATGTCTTGGACCCGCACATCCGCACTCAATCAGAACTTATCAAAAGAGAATAAAAAAAGAAAATAGAGTGCAGTGATACTCACACGAAGTCTGGTGGCGTAGCAGCGTCGGCCCACTCAGCGGGCGGGCTGCCGGAGCCACCGCTCGGCAGAGAATCCAATGAGTCGGGAGTCGCACTGCGCGACCGCGGTTCACTACCACTTGAGTTCTGGGGACAAAACATTCACACATTAGCATCACATTATATCCTCCTGTGTACATGGTAAGAGTTTTGGGAATTGTAGAAACACGATATTCGTATGGGTTGTTCTGAAATAATGAGTTTGGAGTTATGGAAAACTTTAGTTCGTGCCGAAATATTAATGCCTAACATTTTTGGTAGCAGATACTTTACATTGGTTCCATCTCTAAGTTAAATCAAGCAGTCAACAAAGACTAGCTGCCTTCGTTAGAAATAAAAGTTAACAAAAAGATAAAACAACTTCGGAAATCCCTGTACGTCTGCTCCTCGCATCACGATCGATCACTGTCACAAACTCAGAAAGATAAAAACACTTGAGGACAAAATAGAAAACATTCGAAGTACGTTTCCGTGTCTAATTCTGTTAAACGATGTTTATTTTGGACTAGAACTACTTGGAGTTCAATAATTCACTGGTCATCTTAAAATAGCTCCCTATAAAAACAGAGAAGTTATTTATAACATTTTAATTAACTAGACGTAGTTCTTACGTAAACGTATAATCATTGAAAGCAGAATGATCATGTGATTAGTCTGTAATAACAGCGTATTAATCAGCACTTGGTGACGGAAATTGCGTTCATTGTCAACCACAGCAACAGACGGGTTCCAGTGCAATTAGAAATGAATAGAAAGCACGTGGCGAGCTGCATGGGAACGTTGATGGAAAAGAAATCCACTCGATGCAACTTTGTACATAATAAACAAGATGAGAGAAAAAATAGCTACATGGTTTACCCAGCTAAACAAACAAGTATTTAAAACACAGATATGAAGAAGAATAAAACCAACTACATCTACGTAAACTACAGCAACTGCGCACCAGCACTCGCACGCATTGAATAAATAATTTAAGTAAATACGTATATTATTATTTTGATGTAATACTGATCCATATAAACAAATGCTTATCCATTTCCATAGCAAAACAATCAAGGACAACTTATTGGAAAACCTACCTCTTCGTATTGTATTGTAGTGAAATGGGATAACGAATTTATGCGCGACCAAAAACTTAAAACGTGGAAAAAACAGCTTTGCTTATAACTAATGTCTTCCCGCAATAAATTAAACATGAGTTCCTATTAGTAGTTTGATAGTTTTTGCACCTGTTATACACCGTTTTGTCTCAAGTATCTTTAATGCGCACACGCATGCGACGGAGATGAACTGTGTGAACGACGCTTTGTTCAACAATTACGCTACCGGTTGTAAGATCACAATTGCTATTGATTGCTCTGTTATAGGCTGACAGTTTTTGTAGTGCAATTTTCACTGGAGTTAAGAAAAGTATGTCTACTATGTAAGTACTTAATAAGCATCACTTAAGTGACATTTCTTTGCTTCCTTCAATGTGATGGAATGAGTTAAACAGTGTGTAAAAATATTGCCATCCATCAAGGTACTTTGATAATCCAAAAATTTGTGCTGGAGCCAGCACTAAAACAAAGTAAGTAGGTCATTATAACTTTCCAATTTCCCAGATTGTTACACATAGTACCTATTATATAAATATAATTCCTAAGTGTGCCACTAACTAGGTGTAATGTAAACAATTAAAACAAACATTCCCATACTATTGTCCCAGCTACATAAATACTAGCGTTTGGTCCGAAAGAGAAACGTTATATCGTATCTTTTGTCCACTCATTACACAATCGCCGGCGAAAGCTTCTAAATTAATGACTGGCTACTTTTTAGAAGAATTTCAATGTAATTTCTACTTATTAATGATTACTGTGTCGTTGCGTAATCGTTCATTTATGTAATTCTTGTTAGTTCACTGACATTTTCTCGTTTATTCTTATAATTTATTTCGTTTCACTCGTCTGTTTTGTCAACAATACTATGCTCATGTAAAATTATTTGGTTTCTTCAATTTATTTACTCATTCACTGTTATTGCTGTCATCATGCTCTACGAGTTAAGTCATCTTTGAGATAAATTAACAGAACCAGCAAAATTTGGGAATAATCTTGTATATAGAATTGTACAGTTCAGGTCAAAGCCAGTCATAACATAATTTGCTCTACACTGAAGTATTTGCAAATTAATCGAAGCCGTGTTGATGGAAGCTAACTAACCACTCGTCACCCGTCACAGCTCAGCTAACGGATATTGCGGAAGCGACATCTACCGGCAGTCCCTTACACCGGCATGTATGTCAGCGGTGCGTCGCGGACCGGTTAGATAGGTACATTCAAGTGTAACTGCCTAACACGGAGACAACCGATAAATATTGATAAGGAGATCGCAAGCCAATGGCTATATTAGGAAGAAGGGAGACGTGGGGATCGGCAGCACAGGTTTATTTAGATATTAAAGATAGTTGCTCTTATGTGAAAACTCTAGTCGCCATTTCCTGGTAATTGAAGAGATATCTAATGTTACAGTCGTTGGTTTCTACATTATTGAGACATAGACTTTTACGAGCTCCGATACTTACGCTAGGGGCATTAGTGATGGCGGTAGTATCGAGTAATATCGAGTCTATTGAAGGGGTACTGACTAAAAATAATATTTACGGAATAAATTGGAGGCAAAATAAGTCGAGGAATATAGTAGGTACTGACCTTCAAACATGGTTACTTATAGGAACCAATACAATAGTGTATACCAATAGGTATTTGAATGTAAGTACTTGGAGTATCAGAGGTGAATGGGAATGACTGACAATGCCTGCGAGTTATTATATAACCCTTATAACATACTCTAAACATGTATGTACGTGGAACTAACTGTTACGAAACAAGCAAACGTGACGGAATAACAATATCATATCTGAGGCGAGGAGAATAAGAATCAGTTTACTATGAAACTTAGAACAGAATCAAGTAACTCCAGGATGCGAGCACTAGCTATCGACAAAGTAGGTAGATGATTGAAGTATAATAAAGCAACACCTGCGTGAACATCGGCAGAACCTTGACAGCCAAAACCGGAAATAATAACAAAGTCTAATAATTTAAGTACAACATCAAGTTTTAACGTGGATACGCGTAACGGAGCTATGATCTAAGTTTAATTCACATCTTATCGCTAAACCTATTGAACATAATAGTTGTAATTTATACTTCTGATTCCTAAAACCCCCTCATAAACGAGGGCACACAAAGAGTTTCTTGCTTTCTACAGTTTGAAACGAGCACCTAGCTTCGTTGACGAACTGATAGGCTATATTTAGAGGTTTCAAAAGATTTTTTTTTAAAGCGTCTAACTTAACAAGGCCTGGACCAATTTTGCCAATGACTTGAGTTTTGTGTTTTGTGCTGTTGTGCCTTGTGCCTTTTTTATACTTGCGTCTTTGTATCCCTGGACGTATCAGTCCCAAGTACAATTTAAACTAGTGTGGTTAGCTATGTAAATAGATTACATTTAACTTTGGAGCAAGCGCATTGATGTGGCAGGGCCCGTCGAACGAGAAGGAACGGAGTGCTTTTTATTTATTGAGAATCTGTCACTCCTCTCGCCTCACCCAGGGAAAAGAAGACTACTCTCAAGAATCTCTTTCGCGGTCTAGGACAACTCGATTAATGAAGCAGCTGTATTGTAACCACTATCACAATATGAGGTACATTATTTGTTTAATTATTCAATAGGTATTATTATTCTTAAAATTCTAACTGATATTTTAATAAAGATGTTGGTTAACTTAAAAGTAAGATGAAGAAGAAATTAGAAAGATGTGTGTTGTGTTGTGTGCTGTAATAAATATGTATAGGAAGGAACGAGAGTGCAAAAATAAGTAAAAGTTAGAGAAATAAAGATATTTATTTACATGTTCATATTATAGAAGCAATACTGAAAGACCAATGTAGATTAAATCTATTATTTCACACCATTAACGACAATTAGTGTTACTATATACAAAATCGTGTCGATCGAAAGAGGTCTTCGTCAAATCTTAATAGCGGGATGGCGAGGTGGTTTCAGGACCTGGACGCTTCAGAAAGCTCTTCTGTCACATAAGTAGTCAAAAGATCAGTGCCATCATTACATCCACTGCAGAAGCTTGGGATCAGGGATGTATTGGTGGCCTCCTGCGAAGACAGGCTCTTTATAGGAAGAGTACAATCTTTCTTCCAAGTTCTTGCTCTTCCAATCTGTTAAAGGGTTTGTAGACTTGAGAAAGTCCTTCACCCCGAGTATCAAAGCAAACATCGAAACAATGGCACACGTTGTAACCTCAAAGATCGAGGCAGATAGGGGAAATCAACGCCTCGCTCCTCGGGTCACCTTGAGGCCTTGCCTGCAAGGTGGGCGCCAGTGAGGGATTGCGGTAGTACGGACCCCATACCCTGGTACACACGTAGTGTGACGCGACCTGGGGTCATATCCCGTCGTAGATTTTAGTCCACTGGACTAAGTGTTTGTGGACTAGGGGTCAGATACTCTCCTATATCTTCCGAAGTCAGCACGGAAGCTTCAGAATTATTTTCATTCTATAAAAAGTTTCAGTGTTTAATATTGGCCGATTTTAACACAAAAATTTGCAGTAATGAATCGTATTTTTTCTTAATTTAAGCGTTTGTTAATTGATATATCAGTTGTTAAATGTGCAAAATTATACAAAATATGTATAAGATCATGATTCTGCCAGCTGCTGGTGCTACCTTGGAAGTTAATTGTTAAAATCAGTAGAAAACAATAAACGAGTTCGTGTTTCCTGCACGCTCGTGCTCGCTAGACGAACCGAATCCAGTGGCTAATGATTCTTCTGTGTAATTTCAATTGTTTAGTTTATAATGAGCGCAAATTATTGCTTTTATTTGGTTGAATAAACATTCAGGCAGCATATTTTTTGCAGGAAGTAGATTCGATGTTTGTTAAGATGATATATTTATCTTTGCAGATAGAAAGTACAATTGGAATATTTTGCTAACAGTATACCTCCACTATCTACTTGTCACTTTCAGTCTACAATAGTATTTATTTGCTCTACTTCAGTCCATTGTTGGTAAACAATGCGTAAAAGTGGATCAAATCTATTTATCACTATCACGATATCAAAGTCACCGAGGTCGATACATAATTCAATTAATCACGAAGTTATCTTGATTGCAACCTTATTAATCAATTTATAGACACAACAAAGTTCTAATAAAAGTATAAAATGCTGTACGTACCTAAATGATAACTTGAAAGTAATTACGACACACAAAGTAAATAGATTTGCCATAGATAGATTAGACAAAATCGGTTAGCCTAAATCTAAAATGTTTAATGCACTACACCCGATTTCAAAACTACTATCCATTAGTAAACCGATTTGTTGATAACGACATTTACCTACCAACCACTTCATTACTAAAAATACTATTGACAATATACAACGCTGGTCAAACTTAAGCAATAGAGAAAGATTTGCTTAAGGTTTTTAAATGATTTAAATGTAGGTACTTATCAAATTAACCCCCAAGTCTATCAGCACATTATCGACTTAAAACGATGTTTAATCTCATTTTATAAACAAAGAAAGAAATAAGAAGAACATAACACCCATAAAGAAACACTAAATGGCAGAAGAACCAAGGATTTGAATAAACAAAATGAGTAAACAGAAAAGTCTTCAAGATAATCTCATCGATAAGCTACCTACAAACATTGATATCTTTGGGAATTATAATCCACAATCACATGATACAAGTATCTCGTGTTTAGCTATTGTATGACCAGATCTCGTATTTATCTCTCACGTATACCTATCACTGAACACCAACAAACAATTGATAAAGTTACAAATATAAACGGGTGCAAGTATACTTTGAATATACAAAAACAAGTTAAAGAAGATGCTGTAAACAATGGAGATAAGAGAGCCTTAATTTTAAGTAGGCATCTTTAGAAAACTTTGTAACGACGGTATCCAAAAGGTAAGATTGTATGTTGTCCATCTTAGGAGATAAGAACTGGCAATAAGGAGGTCAACAATATCACCCTTTTTACCTTTCCGAAATGACGTCGCATTGTGGGTCATCTACAGATATCAGATTACTAATATAATATTTACCAAAGCCTCGATATAGGAGCGCACGAGCGCCAAGCCCTTACAGTTGACCACTTTCTCGCACACCTTCACTCTCATGGTGTCACAGATCATGTTGAGGGCACAAGTGCTGACACCGCGCACACTGCACTGACTCCACAATGGCCACGCACTGCAGTTTGGAAACCAGCGGACGCAACGCAACGCGTCCGTCTACCTCCGTACTAAACACTGGTATCGCTTGTGTAATTAACATTACCGTATTACTAGATAATTAGTTTTGCGTAATTTTTTTATACTTGGCGTCTGCTGTCGACTACTTGTCGCAATTTAGCTACTTGTGTTCTTTTCATTTTCACACGTTCTTACGCTATGCTTTCACTGTCTATCGCTGGAGATTTGTTTGACGGAATATTAAAGTAATAATCAAAATTATTGCTGCGAGTTATGCTAACTTACCATTTCAACTTCATTCAGATACAAAATCCACACATTCACTGCAAATGTTAAGGAAGGTCATACGTCACCATTGTTTGAGAATGACAAAAATGTTTTGAAGTTCACACAACTGTTCGATGTCAAAGCACTGCATCCAAATACACACTAATCACAAACATTTTATTTAACAAAACAAACACTTTTCAAAAACAAAACTCAAAATGAAGCCGATTATTATCTTTCCGGACAAATGGTTCACAAACACGAACACACGTAAACAGCGCCATGGTTCGAACTAAACAGGTACCTAAGTAAGTATTCCCAAAAACGTTAATTACACGCTTATCTAACGAGCCATTATCACTCGTTCCTAATGTAGTTTGAAACATATTTCAATGAGCACGTCACTGAGGCGATGGTTTCTTATTAACTGTTGCATGATGCAGAGCGCGTGATTCGATGCAGAGAGAGACACATAGCGAATATCATCTCCGAAATTTGCTTTTTTGCGTGCAAAGTTTCACAAAACATTTTTAGGATGTCGAGCGAGATTGATAATTGCGTTGCTATTAAATTTCTCTGGATCAGTAGTGCAATCATTTGTTTTATAGCTTCTACTATTAACTCCTCGGCCGGATCAATTTTACGAGGCCCAAGGCGTTATAATTTGAAAAGATCCGGTTATTAAATTGAGAGAGCTAATTTGATTGATTCAATCTGAAGAGATTATCAATATTTGATATCAAGAACGACAGTAAAACTGTTCGAATAAATATATTGAATGGGAAAAATGCACGAATGGGAAACCTGCAGATAAACAAGTAAGAAATATTTTGACCACAGACTGACTAGAAGAGCACACCTAAGATGAAAACTTAATGACCTGATGCTCCTGTGAAATATCTGATTGAAGTGATAAATAAAGAGGTAAAGGCGACACTCTATAGCCTACTGACCGATTACTTAAACGACAATATACGGTGACAACCAGAAAACAGTAAGACAAATGACAATAACACGACTTATGCTCAACCAATTAACCCACTGCACGTGGAAACTAAATGCAATGGCAATCGTTCGCGGCTAACCGCAAATGATCAGGTGGATATAGGCTTAGAAAGTACCAGAAGAATTATAGCGACATTATTTAAAGATAGTTTTCTTATATTCGATCGAATTTCTAGAGATATTACCATTGAGTTTAGTAGGGTGGAATGGTCATTAGAAATGGCGATGGTTGATGTTCGCGATATGGGATCGCTGATAGTAATGTCGAGTGAGAAGATTGTAATGATGACTTTAATGGTATTTGAAATAGTTATAGTCACCACGTTACTATGGAATAAACCATAAAAAAAATTTTAAATTTATATCGTAAAGAAAATTGAATTGGCAATTAATTCAATGCATATTTTACGAAGCCAAATTAGTCTAATTCAGACTACGTTACTTTCACAGAATAGTTTAATATGCGCAGAAACACACACTCATGAGTATTTGACGTTGTTTCGAATACTAATCTATTCGTTATTTGTGCTAAATGATTCATTGCCATTCAAAGAACTTCTTTAGTTTTTTCGATAAACAATAATTGCAGGTGAGTCATAAAAATAAGTAACTTTGAACAACGGAGTTCATTCGCTAGTCAGTAGTGAAATATTACTTTTTGCCAATGTTTCGGGGTGTCCTTTTTAAAAACGAGACTAGACACTTATAACCTCAAATTAACATCAATATGATTGATGGTACCTATGTGTGCAGTACCTAGTAGTTACTGCCATCTGTCGAAATAACAACGAACTACCAACAAGTGCACTGTGCCAGTTAGCGTACTACAATACTATTCGATTATCGATGATTTATTAATCGCAATATCTATTCGTGCTGGAAGCCGTATCGATCATTCTAACAGTGCAGTACAATACACGGCGTCAGAGCAAAACTATGCCAAGGAACATTTTTGGAGCCTCGACCAAAGTCTTAATATAGAAATCAAAAACAGTAAATCATCTTAACTTATACAAATAAATAATTAACATAGAAAAACGACAGCTATTGAAAAGTCTAGAGTCCAATAACAATGTTTACACAGAGTAATTAGTTGGAACTCACCTCCAAGTCTCGAAAGACATCTCTTATATCAGGTTTCCTCGCTCGGGAAGCGGCTCGCTTCCTCCTCACAGTTCTGTTAAGTCTTCTGACGCGTCTGCGGACTGCAGCAGCCTGTTCTCTGGGCAGAGGCCTGACTGCTTCACCCAGCTGGGCCTCGGTGACCTCCAGACCTGCCTGGAATGGCGCCGCCAGTGATCCGAGCCCGGCAGCTTGCAACCATTCGGTTTCCAATTCGCCTTCTGTATAGACAAAGATAAAGAGACCATTAGGACAAAGGCCAAAAACTAATGTTCATGGAGATTTTCTATAATAATGCTAATTATAATAATAAGATTCCCATAATTTGATCGACCAAATTGAGTCCAAATATGTCGAATCACTAAGTTTGTACATTAAAAAACTCATTATCAAACTGTTTTTGTTGAGAACAAATGACTCAAAAACCTCAGACACACTTATTGCTTACATTGTATCGTCGGACGCAAATTGCGATCGCCTTATATGTTTTTGTTTGGATCAAAATCTTCCGCGATTAGTACTTTTTGCATTTATTCATGATCGTGATTGTTAGCTCGATATCAGTGTAACATCTTAGATGGTTCTATCTTATTAATATTCGGCACATCTATCAAAACGACTTAATTATTTCATAGAAGAATGAGATGACGCCTTTTTTGTCTATATTACAAGGCATGAGTGCCTTTGCCAAGGCGTTGCACGTTTTTTTAAGACAAAATGTATTATGAAATTGCTACTTAGTTAAAAAAACACGAGGTCATAAGTACGACTTATTGCGAGCACATAATGTGCTCCTATTATATTACTATAGAGTTAATGGAAGCTGTGTGGCGAAGAACAGACAATCTAAAGCTAAACAAACGAGGAAGCCATGGCTCTATTGTTTCCGCACGATTTGCAAGAAGAGATTTAAGTTGCTAGCATAAAAAAATATCTTATTTTGAACCAGGAAGGTAACACAGAACTAAAAATACTACAGACTAGTAGCGACACCATGATACCCATAAAAAGTTTTAATACGAATTAATTACGAGACTGTAAAAAAAACCATCGCATCAAAAATTATTCTTTGTCAGTACTGTTGGTTAATTCTAAAAGCTTTTAAAAGGCAATGAAAGTAAATAAGTTACACTTAAACTGATGTTCAGGGCAGGATGCTTACATTTGCAGTTTGTGGCTAAATATAGTCTGTCAGTCCGTCTGTCCCTGTGAGTCAGCGGTAAGCGCCCCGTAAACTCCGTTTTGTTATTTATTGTGGTTCAAACGTATATGTTTTGACTTATTATTTATATTTTTACAATTAATATATTACTGAAAAATACAGCACTGTAAGTCAGATGACGTAGTCAAAAAAATATGGAAGAGAAAAGCCTATATAAAGATTTATAAGAATTATTTGTTATAAAATGTCAGTCTACCCAAAAGTTAAAATAGAGACCAAAGTCAACAATGAAGTATTCCTCCACATTACGTTAAGCATACATATTACATTTTAGCTACTGAAAATCACAAAGCCAAGAGAATCGTACAATTTACATCAGTACAAACTTAGAAGCACTTACTTTGGTTTAATATTAAGTGCATTAAAACAAATATACAACTGAGGGTTGTTTTTGGAGTACTGAATTTGTTTGAACAAGCAAGTCATCCTGAAGGATTTATCGCGTGTAAGTTGCTTACTGAAATAGTAGCAATGTGTTAAGTGTTTATGTGAATTAAGTAGGGATACAAGTTTCTTAGTCATCGCCAGTCCGTTCATCGGTCAATGTATGCAAACATTCACTTGGTGTCAACGCAAGCTTTCGCGTGGAAATTTCACTAAAGATATAGCTCAATGGAAACGAAAAATTAGTATTATTTTAAAATTTATATATCGTATTATTATTAATTAATAACTATGCTGGCATATCTTTAAATTTCCCTGGGTTGCCCAATATTATTTTAGAGCCAAAATTCGATCTAAACTTTGTGGTTTTAGCCGGATTTAAATAAGGATCAATCGTCAATATGTTTTTTGTTGTTTTTTAGTGTTTTAAGTTAAAATATTTTCATGTACAAACCTCGGTCGAAGGTTGTTTTCGAAATTTTTTATATTTTTATTTACTATGAGCGATTTCTCACAAAGAGCTCACACTCGTAGCACAAAGAGCTCGTATATAGCGTGTGGTTTATTTCAACAGCCGACGCGGAACTCACAGGATGTTATTTGTTTTGCTAACCTCTCAATTTGGCCTGTTTATAGTTAAATGCACGTGAAGTATTTGTTTTTGTATCTTTGATGGCTCAACACTTTTCAGATACAAACCTAGTATAGGATATTTTCATATTTCAGTCAAAACTTATTTCAAATAATTACAACTCACTATTCAAATAAAAAACTAATAAATAACGACTTCTAACCAAACGGCAATAACGTTGGCTAAAGTTTCTCATCAGTTAAAGATTTAATTACTAGCTTCAGTGATTCGATCACACACACAGTTTGTTTAAACATTAAACTTTTAAATGTAAACAGAATCATTTGTTTAAATACCACATTAAAAAGACCACACATCGTCAACAAGAATTTGTTCTTTTAACGTTTGAAGTACACCACAATAATGTAGCCTAAGTACCAAGGTATATTCGAATATTACGCTCCACCAAATGTATTAAGCAAAGGAATATCAATTCAACAAAATATTTAGTTAAAAACTCGAAAAAGGAAGATTTACCTACAGTCACTCTTAAAAGTAGTAAAACACTCACCTATCACATATTTGGCTTGGAAGCGACATAATGCACCCATAACACACATGGATCACAGTACAAATGACGAGCTGACAGAGCTGGACTATTTCACCGGAACATCAAACAATTAAACAAATTACACTTCATTTAACGTATCGGGGGCAAACTCTGAACTAAACTGCAGTACACCCCACCACACAATAATGTTTGCTGAAACGATGATAACGATAGATTTTTACGTGTCGACTTGAGTGGGTGGGTGTACGACGTCACAGGTGAATCTTACTGACGTACAAGTCAGTCAGTCTGGACTGATGTTGTGACTCATGTTGTGTTATGATTTCATGAATGAATATCTAAGTACCCTATGATCGGTTTGCGTAATGCTGTCGATATATGATACCGACACCTAGTCACACTTTATCAAGACAAGTGGATTTTTCTTAAACGGATAAAACAAATGGCGAATGATGAAATTTTCAGTTCGTTTGTTTGAACAAAATGCTTATGTCAGATAAATTCGATGAAATGCTTTTTTTTCTTAGTAATGTAATGTCATTGTTACGTTGTATTTTTTTCTGGTTGCTCCAGAGGAAATCACCAAATTACTGATAATCGCTGAATTTTTGGAAAACCAGTGGGAAATTTAAGTATTGGTATGGTTGTGATTTAACTGATTTTAGAATAGGTACTTGCACGGTATGACAAAACAGTATTATTATCGTTTAGACTAAATATTCTAGGCATCTAATTTACACGAATTCCATTATCTGTACTCTATATCTGACCAACATGGAGATCTCAGCGAAACAATAATAATACCTAATATTTGCCACGAAACGTAAGTTTCACGCGCGAAATAAACACATGTCATAGAAATCGATAAAAGCTCCAAAGTGACGTGACGTCAAAAACTGCAGCTAACGGGTGACGTCGACGCAGAGCGTCGCGGCGCGGCACACTGCGCGTGCGCAGCCGATCCCGGATTATTATGGTCATGTATTTATAGATCGGATTGAAACACGGGATACAGTTCAATTATTTCCGCTCATTCAATGAACTGAAAGATGCACTGTAATAGTGTAAACTTTTTCATATTTACGATAAATTTATAAAAAGTTACACGACGTTTATTGGCTGAATATTTTTTAGACAAAGTTTTAATAAATGGTTACCAAATGAGTTCATGTAGAATCATCATTTTCGATCACATCTCGATTATTTTCTAATGTTGCCTTTGCTACAGACGAATTGATATTGAATTCATCCAATCCAACTTCAATTAGTAGGTATTTAAGATAATATTTTATTGTCTGAGACATATAAATAATCATTTCTTGATCACAGATAAAAATAACTAGGGAAAAATATTTGAATCTAATTTCGTAATTTTACTTCTAACTTTTCTAAAATGAATTACCGAAGTAAAGAAGTTGTTCCTAAATAGAAATATCCTGCATTAGGAACAACACGATGCACTTGCCTACGACCTCCAGCTAGTCACGGACGGACGGACGGACGGAGAACTATTTGTGTCAACGCACTGTGGCGTCTAGACGAGCTATATTTACTCCGCGGATTCACTCACACGTCACTCTTTATGAGGTGTCATAACGACAAACGTAATGTTTAGAGATAAACCATCGAACATTAGATTTATAAAGAGTCAAATCCATCGTACCAATATACAAGATATAAGGTCTAACTAAGAATATTAGTATCACTCATTGTAGAGAGCGCAAAGAAACTACTTACGTTACTACAAATAAAATTCAACTATAACTAGTAAAGGCCGACCCTAATCTAATTAAGAAAAAGCAGACGAAATCCTAACCGGACGCAACTCAATGCGCACTCCTTGACGAAAACTTTAAACATTAAAAATATGAAATACTGACCTTTATTTGGCAAAGTTTCCATCACAAACATTCCGTGGAACCTCACTTTAACCATTTTGCTAAGTTTACTTAACGGACACAAACTAGTACAAAACTCAAAAGTAAATGATGCTCAGTAAGCACAGAAGCGCACGCAACTTGAAAGCTTACACTTTAAGTAAATCTGCACTTTAGATGCACTCGTTACCGAAGCAAGAGTAATACTGACCTACAGGAGTCCAGATACCAATTAGGCAAGGTCGGTGGCCATTGATAACAATAGGGATGCATTCTCTAGCCACCCCCACCCCTTTACTGATAACACGACCATAGAAATTAGGAGAACAATGGACGGTCTTTTCAAATTTCTAGGAACGCTCCCTTACTGCTATTTAACATGTGGTGTATTACTAATTTACCTTAATTGCTGTTGAAATACTATCAAGCTTGTTACTCATTTAGGCGTTCTTCAAAACTTTGATTTCTTAAAATTATTATTTAATCAGTTGTCGGACGATTTTTATTTTGTTCGTGAATACTTTAAATCAAATCAATGACTGTAGGAAACCTGTTTAAATAAATCCGTTTTATTGCAAATATTTGATATTCGTTAC